TTCTTTTGGGCAAAACTGCAGCCTGTCATAATCTGACAAACAAATTTTAGGAAAAAAATTGTGAATATGAATTATAGCAAAATTCTTTCCACCACATAATGATCACATCCTTGCAAAGCAGTCAATCAATTTTCGTTTGATCACATCCATGCAAAGTGACCGACCAATCAGCCAACGAACCAATCAACATCAACCAACTAACCAATCAATCAACTGGCCAATCAAACAGCCAACCAACAAATCAATCGATCAGCAAATCAACCAATCACCTCACCTAAACCACATTCACCGATGGCAACAATCTTTTCTCGATTCTCATCCACAATTCCTTCCATCCATTTCAGGTATTTTTCACCACCATCATCATCATTATTGTTATTATTATTTTCTACTTCTAGACATCTTGTTGGATGGACTCCAATCGTTGTGTACAACTGACCTGATGGCGACAAAGATGATGGTGGTGGTAATGAGAAAAAATGATGATTTTGAATTTATGATGATAGAATCACTCTATCACTCTTCAGAATCACTCTTCAGTAATTCATCTATCAATCATTTATTCATTTATCAATCCATCCATCCATACACTCGTTCATTCATCCATTATTTCATTTATTTATTCATATTGGATTTTGAAATAAACCAACAAGAGAGGCTGTACCAATCCAGCGATACAATTCATTCATCAGTCGTTCATTCACTCATACACCCATTCATTCCTTCTTTCATTCATTCATTCATCCAACTATTTCTTCACTTATCCCTCCATCCACCACTCATCCATCCATCCATCTACCCACAAACACACACCGTGCCCTTTCACCAGCTGCACAGACTCCTCAAAATCTTTCCTGCATCCACTCGTTACAATTATCTGAAAAAAAAAAATAATAAAAATATTTAGAAAAACAATAACAATAGCAATAGCAATATGATAATTATTTTACCTTTTCAATGATTATAAATGATAAATTATAAAGACGATGATAATAATTATGGTGGTAACAATGGTGAGAATGATGATAGTGATGACATTGACCTTTTGAACTCCACTGGACCACGCCCTTTTGAGTACTTCATGGAGGTCATCTGTATATAGGAAAACGATGAATTACTAGATAAAATGAATGAATGAGTGAATGAGTAGATGAATGGTTGGAGAAACAAATGAATGAATGAATAAATGGATGACCAGACGAATTAATTGGGATGGATAAATAAATAAATGATTGAATGAAACAATCGATGAATCAATCAATCAAAATTAATAAAACATAAAAAAGCATTTTTAATTAACATTATCTTCACCATCATACCACCATCATCATCATCACCTTCATGTTTTTTAGAGCCATGGTAGATACCTCTGAACATGGGATCTTCGAAGCAAAAATGAAAATTATTTTTGCCCCAAATAATCATTAAATAATGAATAGCATTAATTATAAAAATAATAATAAACTATGATCATAATGGTAATGAATATATGATGATGATGATTAAATTCAGGAAAATAAAAATGACACCATCAGAGACCTGTTAGGTTGGCTCCAATATCTGAAGTGCAGAAAAATTAATAAATGAATTTAAAATTTTAAAATGAAAAAACTTGAAATTTTCCACGCATGTGTGTATTGTATATGTATGACAACTATAACCATATATATCTGTCTGTTTCACTGTTGTAATGTATTATTCTACATTACGGCGTAATAGTGTTGTAATGTAATGGTGTAATCTGTAATGTAATGCAAGTAACTTTTTTTTAGTCAGTTGATTAGTTAATTAATCACACTCCTCCCACAAATAATCAATCAGTCCATCATCAATCATTCCAATATAATATACAATCATCAAACAATCTAACAATCAAGCCAATTAATCAACCAACTAACTTACCAACCAACCAACCAACCATCAACCAACTACCAATCAACCAACCAACCAACCAACCGATAAACTTGTAGACGGATTTCAGCATTTTTATTTTTTAAATTCAACGCCACGTGCACGTTTTCTAGCATTAATCAAACATCTAAAAGTAAACGCGAACCCAAAACTTATAACGCTTAATTTGAAACATGCTTCGGAGGAAAAAAAATGACTTTGGTTAGTTATTTGACACCTGGAAAATAAAAATGGCATGATTTCCAAACTCTTCCTAAAGCTAAAAACTCAAAACTAAAACAGATTCTATGGTACCAACTGGAAAAACTTAGTCCTTATAATTAATCTGTTAATATAATAAAACATTAACGTTTTTTAGGGTGAATAAAAAACTAACAAACTGTTAAATGTTTTTTTAATTAAACACATTTTTAATTTATTAAGAATCATTTTATTTAGACAAATATACATAAACAAAATTAAACATTTGTTAAAAAATAATTTGATTTAGATTGTAAATGATCTAGCGTTTAAATTATCCTTACTTAAAAGATATCCGAGTTTATTTCGCGGAGTATAAGCCCCCGCGATAGATTTAAAATAAAAATTAATTCGATACGTCAATTTGAAGAATTACGTTATAGAAATAAATTCGATAAATATAGGTAAAAATGCTTATAAATTAAAATTTACTAAGTTTCTAGTCTCATTGACTTGCAGTTTTGCGTTATTTTTGACATAATTTCAAGCAATAACATTTTTGTTTCGAAAATCGAGACTATCTAGATTCTATTTCGTTGTTAAATTTCTTGTTATTCCTAACGCTAACATTTCATCAAGTCTCGCATTTTTAAACCCTTTGCAAATTTCTACAAAAATACTCCTCTTGACATTTAGTCAATTTTGCTACATCTCAGATTTTAACAAAATAATTATGACCTAAAGGTGTTTTTCTAGTGAAAATCTTTTATTCTACGTTCTTTCTCATATTAAACGAGATTAAACAAATTTATGTTGAAAACAAAATTGAACAAACTTAACTTTAACGATTATAGATACATTTTTTTATATATTATTAATGATTTCGTCTCACAACCACAAAAAATGAAAATTAAACTCTATATTAAGCGTTGAAACTGTCAAACTGTAGGGGAGGGGTGGACAAACCACGGGCCGCCCGCGAGGTCTTGTTCGCCTAAAAAAGGTCGCCAGCCAGACATTGTGACCAAAAAAAACAACAAATCTTAAAAAATCTCCCCCGGGTCAAAAAAATTTTCTGTTTAAGTACATACGGCCCTTCAAAGGTAAAATAGTTCTCAATGCGGCCCTCACAGCAAGAAGCTTTCCCACCCCTGCCATAAGGCAAGAACGTTTTGAAAAGAATGAAATGAGCATATTATATATTAAATCAGCATATATGCAAATGATAATAATAAACGTCATGAGATAAATTACCTGAAAAATTAATTTCGGGCATTAAATTGACCGTACGATTGAATATCGACAATTCAAGATGAAACATATTAATGAATTTTTAATAGAGTAAAAATGTTAAACCCTTTTTTACAAAAAAATTTTTCAACAAAAAAGTGAAAAAACTGAAAAAAATATTATAATGTAGTGCTAGTTGAGCCTGAGCGCAGAAAATTATAATAATATTCCAATTTGAAAAATAAACTTCTGCAGCGGAAGAACCATTTTTTATCATATAATCCATCAAATAACCAATACATCACTTCATCCAATCTAACAGCCAGCCAATCAGTCGACGAACATAGCCATCAAACAGCTAACCAATCGACCAATCAACCATTCAAGGAATCAGCTCTGCACAATCTTGTGGCTACTATCGAAAATGTATCTCTTAAACTCAAGTGTAACTTTTATCTGTCTACTACCATCTTGGGTGGTGTCTAAATTGCAATCTTTAATCTGATTGGCCAACAAGTTTTCAGCTGACTCGCTCTGATTGGCTGACGATTTGGACGATGATTTTTTACTGGAAGATTTAGCGGCAAGCAATTTCGAGGTGGAATCTTTCAAACCAGCTGAAAAAAGGTTAGTGCATTAAATAAAAAATAAAAAATCATTTAATAAACAGATACACAAATTAGGTAATCGATGAATAATTAATCAGAAGTTAATAAACAACAGGCTGTTAAACAATGGGGAGCCTACAAATTAAATGACCATAAGAATGACCATAAGACAAAATTAAACAACGAACAAATCAAACATCAAGCAGATATTCATAAATCAATCAATATAACCAGAAAGTAGAACGTAGCCAGTCACAATCGACCAGTCAATCAGCAACAACTAGCCAGTCTGAATCAACCAGCCAATCAGGATCAAACAGCCAATCAACCAACCAACCAACCAACCAACCAACCAACCAACCAATCAACCAACCAAACAACCAACCAACCAACCAACCAACCAACCAACCAACCATCCAACCAACCAGGAATTCTTATCTTCACCTTTCCACTCTGGCCAAAACTCCCTTCGATGTATCCATCTTCACCGGTCGACAGTCGAACCTGGAAATTTTATAAATCATTCATTCACACATTTGATAATTCATTCATTCATTCATCCATTCATTCATCTGATGATTTGTTCATTCACTCATTCATATGTCCGTTCATCTACTCATTCATCCACTAACTCGACCATTTATCATCCATCCATCCATTCATTCGTTCGGCTATCTTTATAACGTAATCACGAGACATCACACAAACATCTCATCATTATAAATTAATGTAATGTTTCACTCATCACCACATCACACACATAACAAACTCAATATAATACAGCATTTAACTTCATCGTACCAATACATGATCACACCAAGACACCTTTAAATTGAGTTATCAAAAAAAAACTATTGCCACAGGATCATATCATCATAGTATCATTTAACATTTTTTATTTCATCAAATCAAATCAAAGAAACCAGAACCAATGAAATGAAATGATCTGGAAACCAAAAAGAATTGCTCTCGTAATGGTCACCAGTCACTTATTTAATTACAACATAATCATATCATATCTATTATTTATTTTATTCTATTTTATTTTATTTTTCATAGTTAAACACTTTTCTTACTCCGTTTTTTTATTTTTTTATTTACTTATTTGTTTAATTTTGTACTACTGCCTTGCATGCTGTAACAGTTTCTGCGTCTGTCAGATCATGATTTTTAAAGAATAATAATAAAAAAAAAATCTAATTACATCATTACATCAAATTAATGTATCACCATTACATTATTACACATCATTACGTCGCTATGACATCATCGTCGAGTTGCCACTGCGTTACCTTCAATCCGGAGAATACATCTAGGTTCGTTTCTTTCTTGAAAAGATTCTTACAGATGACAGTGCACTCATCCACCTTCCTCTCTATCACTCCATCCCGACTTTTTGTCTTGTAAACCTAAGATGATGACGATGATGATAATGATGACGATGATGATAATGATGACGATGATGATAATGATTGATGATGATGATGATAAATGATGATAATGATGAAAAATGATTATGATGACGACTACAATATAACTAAGCGGCTTTTCTACAGCTGTCGTCATCACAACTGTCACTGAATTATGAATATCGTCATCATCATTACAACAACATTCTCATCTCCATTTTACAAGCATCATCATTATTATCATTCTCATCACACCACAAACATAATCGTCTTTGATATCATCAAGAAATTCACCCATTCCTAATCCGTCAATGAAATGAGCTATAAACAAAGCCAAACCTTCAGAGCAGACAACCCACTTCCGCTTCCGTCGGCCATATTGAAAATGTTAACAATCCTGCCGTGGAATGCCAGCCTGCATGTATTCGAGTGGATGTCGGTGTCGAGTTTGGAGGTGATGACGAGGAAGTTGGCGTCGCAAGTAAGCGGGTGGTCCAGCTCTACTAGGGCGTACGTGGGTGGTGTCCCGAGGTCGCCTGTCACGTGATGCCATATGTTAGAAGCCACGTGGTGTGGTGTGACGTAATATGTAATTTGCTGTG